CACACTGGCCCAGAGCCCGGCAACCCGCCCGCCAGAGCCCAAGCCCCTCCGCCCCACCAGAGCCATAGCCCAGGGGCAGCACGCCCCCAGAGTCCCAAGCCCCCCACGCCCACCCCGGACCCGCTCCAGCACAGCCAGGCAACTGGACCAGCGACCCATGACTGCCGCTACAGACTACCCGAGGGCCCATATGCAGCCACCAGAAGACATCCCCCAGAACCACCAAGGCCCTCCCCAGAGCGAGAGCAGCGTCACCCCCGCTCCGGAACCCCCGGCGGCCAGCCCCCAAGAACCCCGCCAACTCCCCAGACCCCAATACACCCCCACCAGCCTCAATGCCCCACGAGGTCTGATCCCAAACCCCCCACCCTCACCATGTGATGGAACTAATCAAAGGAGCCCATACAGATTTATCTGATCTGGCGGCAGAGGCTGTTTCAAGACTATAATGATCTAACAGAAGATTTCTATACTGATTAATGCTAAGATCATTTTTATTTTTCCAATTTAATAGTATGGTTTTCTTTGCGATGCATAAGGCAGTGGAAATCATATGAGAAGTGTTTTTCTCTTTAGTGACATCACCTAAAGATAGCCAATAAGTAAACAGACGGACAGGGTGGAATACACTCCTGATCAAAATCTTAAGACCAGTCAAAAAAGTGCAAGATTTTGCATTTTGCACTATTGGATCTTAAGAAGGTTCTAAGTAGAGCTTCACAATGTTAAAGGAAAAAAAACAGTGCAAGAGACAAGAACTTTTGAGCTGGGAATTTTCTGAAAACTTCATTTACACTCAAACATGATTTTTTTTTCAGCAGATCTAAAGTTTAAGACCAAAGTCTTTAAAAGCCAAAATCTGTGCAAAAATCTGGATTCCATGTCATTTTCTGTCAAGTCTTTACACTGTCAAGACCTCCTGATGRCAAAAGTAAAAAAGCTCACTGACTTTGAACGTGGTAGGATTGTTGAGCTGCATAAGCAAGGCCTCTCACAACGTGCCATCGCTGCTGAAGTTGGACGCAGTAAGACAGTCTTTTTACATTTTTAAATGATCCTGAGGGTTATGGAACAAAAAAGTCAAGTGGTAGACCCAAAAAAATTTCACCAGCTCTGAGCCGCAGCTTTACAAATTATTTTAACATCAACATTAATAAAGGAAATAGGACGATAACTTGTAGGTAGTACTGGGTCTTTACCTGGTTTTAATAGGAGACTTATGTTGGCCGAATTCATATGCAATGGAAGCCTGCCGTGTTCCTCTGATTCCTGAAGCATTCTGAAAAATACTGGTCCCAGAATAATCCAGAATTCTTTATAAAATTCTGCTGGGAACCCGTCCGGACCTGGGGCTTTCTTGTTCGGCATGTTTTTAACAGCTTCACATAATTCAGCTGATGTTATTGGAGAGTCTAGTTCTAAAGACTGGTTACTGGATAAGTTTGGAAGTGATACTTTTTCCAAAAATTATTCAATGTCCTTATCTGAAGGGTTTATCTGCGGAGTGTATAAAACTCGGTAGAAGTCTCTGAAAACATTATTGGGGACAGTTATTGATCCAGGTCCACAGTCTGGTGAGGTTAGGGTTTCAGTCAGGGTTAGGCTATAAAATGGCCGATAAATGAATGGAAGTCAATGCAAAGTTCCCATGAGGGTAGTAGTACAACAAACGTTTGTGTGTGCATGCAGCGTGTAGAGTGGAGCGCTGTGTAGATACTGCTAGATTAATTTATTACGAGACATGGAGACTTTTTGTGTTGGCGGGCGACCGTTGATACTGCTAGATGGATTTATTATTGAACATGAAAGTTTTTTATTTCGGCAGGTGACCGCTCCCCCTGGAACAATTGGTCGCACCAGTGTGACCAGAAATTTCTTTAGTTGCACATTTAGGAAATCAGGTTGCATTTGTGACCAAATTGGTCACACTCTAGAAGCCCTGCAAAATATAATAATTTTAAAGGGACCGTACAACAGTTTAGACCTAGACCCTGCCTGACACATTACTACAGTGGTTTCATGTGATCAGTAGGAATGCGCGATATAAACGATATGCGGTAGAAACGATATAAATTTGTCCTATGATAGAGATCTGTAGTCTACCGGCCAACCACACAATTGTTTTTTGATGACTTAACCGGCTGGAGTCAAAACAGAGGAAGCGGGAAGCAGCGAGGCTGAGAGCGCAAATGAAGAGGTGAAAAAAAAAAACCCTATAACTTATCCGGACCTGGTTCGGGTGTGTGAAAATGAACGCCGAACTGTTTACGTGACGGCGCGTCCTCCGGTCGGATGCCGAACGACCACACTGCCTGCAGCGGGAGGAGCGCGTGCCGCGGCACATGGTGACGCAGCGAGGCGACTGTCAGTGCAGGTGAAGTCAGTGCTCAGGTGGGACGCAGAAAAGCTCTCTGAGTCTGGACCTCGACCTCGTTTCTCCTGCGGTCATAGCGCAGGACTGTCTCCTTGTACAGCGGGGAAGCGCTGTGGGAAAGGCTGACAGTCAAGACTGTCTTCAAAAAAAAAAGGTTGAGCATAAACGGGATGATTGTCACCCCGCCGGAGCGTGCACAGATTAAACATGGAGTGCAGAAAAAATAATCTGCAAAGTGTGTAGAAAGGAATAAATAGAAGCAATTTGTTTTACCACCTTAAAACGAAGCAGGTGATTCCAAACACAACATCCAATGGATGCAGATATCTATTACATTAAAGTTATTGAATGAGTGTGATATATATATA